GGGGGGGGGGGGGGGGGGGGGATCGTTCGAAAAACAAATGTTCAACATTTCCGAGACCGTCTACGGTAGGAGAGGTGTCAGTCTCAGTGCGGCAAACACAGAGAACAATCCTCAAAGGCCATGATCTATTGTGCGTGGTTGCTGTTTAGGGGTGAGGAGGGTCACGGGCGGGCGATGGTTGTGGTTGTGATCTCAAGCATAAACAAGGCTCTCCCACGTCCAATCACTTCCAAGACTGGAAGCAGAGCACTGGGGGAAAGAACTGCACGGTTTCATCGTTTTCGCGTCGAATGCGCTACGAAGGCGCTTCGCTTGTGGTGTTTCGGGTACCCTGTGCTGTCACCATCGCGTAGCAGGCTTCCTTTCGCCCGAAAACGTTCTTCCGGCACCACACACACACACACACGAGCGAGAGCAATCCCGTTGTCGGCGGAAGATGCTATTTATAATAGATGTCAAATCACGCAGCGGCGCCGAAAATACACCCGGATACAGAGAAGACAGCTTCATGCAGCCGAGGGTCCAGCAAAACCAAAACATAGGATGCATGCCACCACAGAGGTCGCGAGGAGCGCAAACAATATTGAGAAGAAAAAAAAATAAAAGCGAAACAGAGGTTGAGAATAAAATAAAGAAGCTGACCCGAGACTGAGAAGAAAAAAAAAAGAAACGAAACCGAGATCGAGAAGAAAAAAAAAGCGAAAACGAGATCGAGAAGAAAATTAAACATCCCGCTCACTTTCGAACTCCCTCCTCAGCCGACTCGAAGATCTTGGCCTGGAGGTCCGCCGGCAGCTGGGAGTACATGGGCAGCAGTAGCAGGGGGGGGATCTTGCTGTTGTCCAGCGTACCCAGTCGCTCCGCAATCACCTGCCGTTATAGGATTGGATTTGTTTTCGAGCATTGTTGGGGGCGGAGATTAACGAGCGAAGACAGAAGTGAATCACCTGCGGTGATAGGATTGGATTTGTTTTCGAGCATTGTTGGGGGCGGAGATTAAAGAGCAAAGACATAATTGAGAGAGAGAGAGAGAGAGAGAGAGAGAGAGAGAGAGAGAGGCGTCTCGGGCAGGATGGGAGGAAGGGAAGGGGTGCAAGTACGATAGACATCAGGCACTCGGCTTTCGAAAGTGAAACTACATTAAGCAAAGAAGCACCATGGTACTACAACAACGCCGCAGCAGCAGTAGCAACAACAACAACCGTAGCAGCGCCAACAAACAAGAGCGCTTTTAACATGCTTCACATTTAGTACAAAAACAACCATCGAACGCAACGTCATCTTCAGCAAAGTAGCACCCGCGCAGCACTATAACACCGCAGCAGCAGTAAAAGTAGCAGCACCAGCAACAACAACGGCAGCATAAAACGACAACAACCGTAGCAACGCAACGCCAACAAAGCTTAAACAATTAAGCATGCTTCATATTAGGTACAACATCAACAACAACAACGACAACAACAACGACAGCAACGACGACGACGACAACAACGACAACGACGACGACAACAGCCAAACTCACCTCGCAAGTGGTCTCGATGTCCTCTTGTCCGGTCATGAAGATGAGGATGTCCCCCGGGGGGTGAGACAGGTGGATCTGCAGCGCCTGCTTCACCGCGGCGTCAACATAGTCCTCCTGCGGCGTCTTCGAGAAGTACCTGTTTCAAGACGGGGAAGGGAGAGTGCTACGTGAAACGGCCATTTGCTCTGTTGTCGTCCATCCTACTAAGTACTCACTGCTCGTCCAAACCTATCCTGCTAAATACTTCCGGCTCGTTCAAACCCTTGTCATCTGTTGGGTTGACCATCATATGAAGTACCAATCGGTTTGTCCAACATTGAAACGCTGCTGCGTAAACGGTGAACAGCTTTTGGATCGCGAAGATGTTCACATGTTGGTCAAGTACGTTCTCAAGATCGAAACGCTTGCCGCCCAAGTACACCACTAGTTTAGCTGAAGACGAACCGTCGCGCGGACTTTCCGTACTTAACCACACCACCTTTGCATCTCCTGACACAAGAGCTCAGATCAAGGGGGCGCACACAGACAAGAATCCACCTGCGATTTGCATGTCTTAACACCACCTGTTCTTCTCATGCATACGATGACCCAAACACAACAACAAAACGACGCAAAAGTATAAATTGTCTCACCCGATTTCGGAGCGCAAAGCTTCTAACAACAGGGGACAACGCGGCGCGCACCGTAATACGTTCGATTACTTCTGTATCGAGAAAACCATCAAATCGACGGAAAAACAATCCGAGAAAAAAAAAAAACATACACACACACAAACACGCAACCACGGCTTGAAACGTTACTCACTTCTCAACGTGGAAGGTCCGGCCGGGAATGTTGTAGACGGGCACGCCCCCGAAAAAGTCGCTAAACCGTTTGGCATCTAGCGTGGCCGACGTCACCACCAGCTTTAGGTCTCGCCGTTTCTGGGAGAAAGATCGGGGAGGGGGGGGGGGGGGGAGCCCCCCACCCCAAAAAATGGGGAATGGGGGGGGGGGGGGGGGGGGGGCAAAAAATTTTTTTTTTAAAAAACAACAAAAAGGTTAAATTTTCAA